GAGAAGTTTTTTCTTATCTTTCATAAGAGAAAAAATTATATCAAAATAATATAAACATTCTATTACTACGTTATGTAAGATAGTACAATAGCTCCCTAGTACGGCTTACAAATTACAAAGTGCTCAACACACAAGATCTACGTACGGTGACAATACAACAACATTTAACTTGGATGAAGATATTAGAGGTATCAAAGTGACACCCTACTCAACATAAAACAGACAACAAGACAAATAGAATTACTAATACAAATCCGCTAATTGCATGATCATTCAATCTCTCCAACCATTTGAATAGTATTCAATGGTTGTATTTATTGTTGACTTTGCCCCCCAGCGGGACGAGCTTTCTCTCTGGTAGGTGAATCTTGAATAAATTGTCGAAGGTAGCCCTGGCGGATAAGCCTTTCAATCTCATCCTTGAGTTGCTTGCAGGCTTCGGTAGTGTGACCACGGCTACGATGAAAGTGACAGTACTGATCTGTATTTCCTGTGTTCGACTTCAAAGGGTTTGGCCATTTTATTGTATCTTGATCTCGAATGGTCATCAATACATTTACTCGAGACGTATTGAGTGGGGTATACTCCTCCTGTCGAGGTTCCCATCGTGGTGACGAAGTCCTATGAGGTAGATTATTCTTCCCATGTTTTTTCTGCTGTGAGAAAGAATTATCCATCCCAGATGCACCTTTACGCTTCCCGCTGATTTGCTCAAACTGTTTCCTGTGAGCATTTATAGCTTCATCTGCAGAGATTTGTGCCTCCACGCGATGGATCAAGTCAGCGTATGAATGGACGGTGTCTCGCATAAGGGCCGAATAGAAGGGGCCAGGACGAAGACCTCCAAGAAAGACCCCTCTGAGTAATTCAGGGTCTACTCCTGGAATATGTCGTGCTTTAGCAGAAAATCGCTGAAAATACTCCTTCAACGATTCTCCCTCATTTTGGCGGATCCCGGAGAGGTGGGAAGAATCCTTAGCAATTCTTCGATTTGCCACAAATTGTTAGACGAATAATTTGGCCAATTTGACAAAAGAGGGGATCATTCCAGGTGGAAGCGAGTAGAACCACGTATGGGCCAGTCCTTTAAGGGTGGCGAGAAAGACCTGGCAGAGGAGCGCGTCTGATGCTCGTTGAATATGCATGATGGTTCTGTAGTAGTCGATATGCTCATATGGGTCGGTCGTCCCGTCGTAGGACTCAATATTTGGCACTTTGAATCCGACCGGAATGGGGTGCTGAAGAATGGCTTCAATTAGAGGTGATGACTCCTGGAAATTCCTCTATCGGAGAGCATGCCTCACATCTCCTCGGGGGAACTCTTCCCGTACCAATTTTCGCAGTTCGCGACGCAGGACATTGTGAGGGAGTCCCGTAATGTGTGGTTGGGGAGAGCCTTCTGGGAGTTCTGAAAAAATGCGAGGCTGTCGAGTCGAGAGGGAAGGATGTGTTGAACTCGCTGTATCGGCAAGTTCATCTTCCTGTTGTGATTGAGGATATCTCCTAGGTGGAGGAAGATGAATTTCTTCTTGACGATGCTCGAATTGAATATCTTCAACCCTTGGTGGATCCCGAGGGAGAAGGATCTCCTCCAATGTCGGCTGTCGATCATCCCGTAGGAGTTGAAGGATCTCATTCTGAGATTCTTCCATCTTCCGAATTCTTTCTGCTAAAGAAGGTCCCGATGTCTCTTCTGCGGTAGCATTCTGCCACCCAGGATGAAAAGAGGCAGGCATCGGGCGTCTGTGATTTGTAGACAGATTTCTGGATTGGTGAGAGTTGGAGCAAGAAGCTCCAACGATACGACTGCTACGTCTGTTAACCATTGCAACGACACTTAAAGTTTGTGGGATAGAAGTTTCCCACAGACGGCGCCAAACTGTTGCGTGCTAGAATATACGCGGCAGTAGAGTTATGAAATATTCGTCTTAGCGTTGCACGAGTATTCCGCACACAAACAGAAAAGAGAAAATGAACACCAAGGTTTTTACGTGGAAAATCCAAAAGAGGGAAAAAAACCACGGGGTCTCGCCCAGTTGCAAAGTTTCACTAGTATTTGTTTGAAGTACAAATGTTGATCCGTCTTACAAATTAAGACGATCAATTTACAATCAACTTCTCACAAAGTTACAAAGTTCTGCAAATTCCCGGCGTTTCCCAAAAATCCAGCATAGTTCTGGTGTCTTCAAGCGGCAGGAAGAGCTCCGGCGGTGGTCGAGGAGGTGAAGAATCTCCTTTTCCCCTTTCTCAGACTACCGGAAAATCACCCATTACCGACAGAATTTTCCGACGGTCAATTTTCCGGCAATTTTTCAACAATCAATTTTCCAGCAGTCAATTTTCTGGCGATTTGTCATATAATATGAAATATTATCATATGTTAAAATAGTTCTATTTGTCGTCTCATTACTGGAGCCAAGAGGGGCTGTAAGATCAAAACTAAGAATGCAAATAACATGACAAGAGAGGAGCGAAAGGGAAAACGAAAGCCGTGCTTGAGATTGTTAGTTGCGAGAGAGGAGCAAACGGGAAAATGAAGCAGACAATTTTGGTCGAGGGAAAGCAAGACATTTGAGAGTGGTATCTATGTTGGGCGTGTGATATGATATTTTTGCCACAGTAAAAATTTTTATAAGAAAGTACTTGGAAAAATTTGTAAGAAAACTATTTCGAACAAAGCCTAAAGCATATTCTTGCATGTTAAATAATGAAAATTATTAGGTCTTATTTTTTTATAAAATTAATTCTAATTTTTTTTAATGAAAGCTGATCCTCCACACTTAAATTTGATTTAGAATGAGTGCAAAATATAAAAAATTCAATTAAAATGTATATTACATATATTTGAAAATAAATACAATACTTTTAAGATTCATTTTAACAAAAAAAATGATCAATAAATTCTGTAACTATTTTTTTTATGAATATACTACATTTAGTAAAAATGTGATTGAATAATTATACTTCAATCTCTTACTTTTCTTATAAAAAAATTTGCTTTGACCTCTTATGTCACTCCCCACCCCCCCGGCCATGAACATTTGTAAGTATATATAGATATATAAATTATGTAAAGTGATAGTACTGTGTGCTAAAACATTTATGACGATAAAGAGATAAAAAGTTTAACATCCTAACTTTATACGAAAATTCATCGCACACAAATAAGAGGAATGTAAAAAATATAAGTGACATTTGATTTTTTATATGGAAAACTAGAGAAATGTAAAAACCATGAGATTTGATACAATTGAAATGATTTCACTAGTATTTATTATTGATGACAAATGATGCTCTTCATTTCCAGAATATATTGATACAACACAAGTAACATATTATGTGGTTGGAGTTGAAAGAGCCGTTTAGCATGAAGGAATCCAACATAAATGAAGCTAGGAGTTAGAGATGTCGACAGTGTTCTTGATCCAGTAAGCAATGGTGTGCATTCACATTATTAGCAATGGTAGATGCTGAAGCCAGTAGGCGTTAGAGTAACTAGATGATATTAGGCAAAAGATTATATTTCAGAGGGTTGCAGTAAGTAGGTCATGGAGATTGAAAGGATTATAATTGTGCGACAATGATTAGAGAAGTGTAGTTGGGTAATGGTGACCAGAGTATTGTAGTTAGGTGATGGTGGTTCAATGACCATACTCGGTGAATGATGGAGGTTAAAAGAAGCATAATAGGGTGTGGTGGTTGAGGACCGTTAGACAACAATGGCATGAAGATTGTAGTCAATGGGTGATGATAGCTAGAGGACTATAGTTAGTGGGTGATGAAGGTGGGAGGATTGTAGTCGACAGACGATAGAGGTCGAAAGAATTGTAGTTGACTAACGGTGGTTAAAGGACCGTAGTCGACTGACGACGAATGTTGGAAGGATCATAGTAGAGCGATGGTGATCCGAAGATCGTGGTGGTTGGCTTGTTAAGTTTTGATGCCAACAACCAAGTGGTGGGCCCGTAGTGGTGCTTGAGTGATGCTCCGAGATCCTTAGAGCCTCAAAGCTCTCTCGAATATCAAGATAGAAAAAGTTTAAGCTTTAACTCCAAGCTTTTTTTTTTTTTTTCATGTAAGGAGTGAGGCTTATTTGTAAGTTTTTAAGAATGACATGCTTGTAAATATAGAGAAAATATGAAACACACCATTGAATAGCTTATATCAATTCCCTTTATCATAAACATTTGTTCAGCATTTAAGTGCCTTTATGATGTTAAATTTATATGATCACGAGTTCGTTGGATTTGTCTCATTGAGCCGTTCGATTCAACTCTAAAGATGACAAAGCTAGATTTTTTGGTCATCCAATTCATTCCAATACGTTTTCAATTATGCTTCGAACCCTTGATTTGGGCCCATTCAAGCTTAGATTAGGCTATTTTTGGTGTCAATATGTTCGTTTAGTCATGTTGCGTCCTGGAATATTCGCGGCGGTAGAGAAATATATAGTTTAACGTCTTAGCGTTGTACGAAGATCCAGCACACAATCAGATAAGTGAGAGGGTGTAGCGTTCATAAGAGACACCAAAGCCCGATCAAGTTAATTTTTGCATGACGTATCAAGTCAAAACATTCAATTTGATTATAAATTTACGAAAACATAATTTGAGTGGTCCAAAATTTAATTTTGAAAGTTTCAAAACAAATATACATCAAAATTTGTGCCCAATCAATAAATTTTTTTGGTGACGTATAAAACATAAATACAAATATTTAGTATAAATAAATACATATATGAGGTCATAGGCACAATCATTTTTAATTTATAAAAAATTTTCAAGTAGAATTTAAATTTGCAAACAAATCTTATTCCTCCATAAGCGAGCTAAAATAACATTACAAAATTTTGACATAGCCAAATATCAATAAAACTCGCTCCAGCTAAGTTCAGTTACACCCCTATTTTGAGGATTGTATGAAATAAGGTTCCTAAAAACAGGGAATTTTGGCAATGCTATGTGCAAGACAGCAGGTACAATATCATCAAATTACCAAGATTTATGTCCGAACTCATCATGAAATTATTTCTATAACTCAGATATATGATAGCAAGCATCAAAATAAAGCATAGTAGCACAGAATTCAGAATCACAAAGGTACTCAAACTATAACAAATTCTTAACTTATTCTTTTGATAATTAACATATATACGAAAGATGCTTATAAGAACAAAAGATGATATTTCTTTAGAGGCAACAAAAACCTTCTTTCTTTGAAGCCAAGAACCTTAGTAGCACCTCCCTTTCAAGGACACAGCAAGCTGCAAGTGGCTTCCTGTCATTATTAAACAATAGGCAACTCAGTGTAATTGAGATTTTAATACAAAGTGTAATAAACCTATATGAGAAGAAGCAGCGAGGAAATGGCAGATCAATTTTTATAATGAAATGGCTGTCATACTACAATAGCTGATATTCTTTATAGAAAGAGAGGCTAAGACATGTAATAATTTTCTAATGTTTAAATGGGGGTAGCATCTTCTTGTCTGCTTACAGATGGCTGGATCGGTGGAGATTCCACGTGGATTTGACGAGATGTATATATCAGTATTTTAAAAAAGTGGAGTCCTAGCTCGACCATTACCAAGATATCCATCTCAACAAGGAGATATTGTTTTATGCGGAGACTGGACGTAGAACGCCGTCTGGAGACCAACCAGAATGCGCCTCGTTAGCAGTACCAAGTAGTAATGTGCTGTGGTACCAAGAAAGGGGTGACATGGCGCATTCTGGTTGGTCATTGGACGGCGTTCGGCGTCCGCACAGAATAATTAATCCTCAACAAGAGAATGTGACGTGTTAAGCAAACTTACACATGCATGTGCCGGGGGAATTAGAAACTTTCTTTAGTGAGATCACTACAACAAAGTCAAAATTTATCTTCTTAAGCTTTATTTAATTGCACTACTAATAAGTTGGCAAAATAAGTTGGTAATGGTTCCTATAAGACTTTTATTACTCTTTATAATGTTTCAAGATTTTACAAATGTTTTGATCTCAAGTTATAAAATAATGAAGAGTTGGGGCCAGGTTGAGTCACCAGATCGGATAACATAGTGGAATAAGCCTCAGTCAGTGGAACTTTTATTTGGTTCGGTGTAAGGATGCAGAGGAACATTCGGTCGTAGGCAAAATTGCGCCTATACCGAGGTGTACAAATTTTTTGAAAAAAACTCGGTACACCTCGGTACAGGCGCGATTTTGCCTACGACCGAATGTTCCTCTGCATCTGATCGGAGGACGTAATAATTCTTCCAGTCAGTGGGAGCATATGCCCCGATGCCCCCGCACTAGATCACCCTATGTGTATATGCTGAACAAGAATAAAACTAGACTGGATGTAATATCCACCTTATACGCATTTCAAACCTATATAATATATAAACATCATAGGGCGCCAAGAGAAAAAGAAAAAAAACTCCTACTGACAGATATGAATTCTTTAACTGATTCAAGCGTTAAGAAAAAGGGATAGATCAGTATAATCAAATTTAGAGAGTATCATATTAGCTAGAAAAAAACATATATCAACTTAGCATGAAACATGACATGGGAAGAGATACTAACTATACTGGCATGACTTTGGCTTCGTTTGGGACGGCTTTTTTTATTGCTTTCTAAAACGGAGTTTTAGTTCAAAATTAAAAAATTTTGAACTAAAACTCCGTTTTAGAAAGCAATAAAAAAGCCGTCCCAAACGAAGCCTTTGTCTGATAAAACCCACGATGAGCCTGTTAACAGACTAAAAGAAGCAGCAGAATTCAAACCTTAACTCAGGCAGACAAAGAATATTACCTCAAAAATTTATTCTGCTAGCAAGCAGTGATATAAAAAAAAAGATAAAAAAAATCTCAAAAATATATCGAGTATGGTTAGAGAAAGCAAGCACAGAAAAATCAGATTCCTAAAATTAGTATCATCATCATTTAGCACATTACGTAAATTAATCAATGAAAGTCTTATGTTTTTCCATCGGAAAGTAATGTGGATGTAATTTCTCTTCATTATTGTTTAATTCTTTCAAAAGCTTCAGAATGCTAGTGACGTGGATGATTAATTTTATGTGCCATTTTTTTTTTTCAGCAGTTTACTACAGTACATTTTAAGTGTAAAGATCTTCTCTTCCCTCTGAGCACTCTGCCTTTTCAGTCAAAAAACTGCATGGCATGAACATTCTGCAAAACATGAAATAACCTGTCTCTCATCATGATAGAGTCAACCACTGATTTGAAAAAAATATGGTATTTCTGAAGAATGTGGTCACATTGTCCTTGTTACCTAAATCAAACCTAACTTTAGAAGAATTTGCATGCATCACCAATCCCATTAGGTATGGCTACTCTCAATTGCCTTCCTGCATCAACTAAGTCTTCTACTCTCTTCATAATCAATCTACCACTACAAACTCTACTGTCAGTGAAATTTCTTGTAGGAGCTATTTGGTATCCTATTTTAGGCAAGATTTAAAAGATTTAGCTTAAATCCAGCGAAATTAATCATCAGAGACTTTAAATCTTAATGTTTCAATAAATCCTTTATGCTTCTTTAGCTATGATACTGTTTAAATCCCATCATTCAAAGGATTTAACTTATTTAAGGATTTCTCTGCCAGACACATCTTAAATCTTGAAATAAATAGACAAAATATATATGTGGATTGGATAAGATTGAACCATTGTCATGCAAAAGAGTTTTCAGGCTTTAATCCTCTCAAAATTTGCTAAAGCTGGATTTACATGATTCATTAAATCCTATCGAAGTAAAAATATACTTGTATCCAATAAGCCCTTTAGGCTTTAACTATCTTCCACCTAATAATTCACCTCTTCATTCTTGGGGGACCAGAATAAATTTTCAATCAGCCATCTCTAGAAGGCTGCAGAGAAAAGATTTCACTCAATAATCAGAATTTTAAGGAATCTTTCTTGCCTTCTCTCTCTACTTTTCATTCTAAAGCTCATTGGTTCAAACAAATCCATTGGTTCTTGTTTCTAAGTTGTCTTTCACCGGCATAAAAAAAAAAAAAAAAAAATTTTGAGGTGAAAAAAAAAAAAAAAAAAAAAAAAATCTTTTTGAGGTGAAAACATACAAAAAGTTCAGTCCCAGTGTTCTTTACCAGGTCAATGGAATTTAGGAGAAAAACTTACTAAATTAAAATCAGCGTGTGTGTCGATGATTCATAAGTATCGGGCTTATAAGTGAAAGAAGTAACAATGGACAAAGCTATAGTTATTCTTTATAAGCATCCTGTAAATCTTACTATTGCAAACCAAGTCATATAAATTCCAAGCATAAAACCACAAAGTACGACACAACAAGAGAAAGGATAAGAAGATTCCACTAGTTTATAAAGGAAATCATACCACCACAGATCAGCCATCGGTCACCACCAGCCGTACACGGCATGCGTATATCTATCCTTGATCCATCTAAAGCTCTTTCTGAACGACCCCTTGACCTTTCCCTCAACCGAATAGACCTTATAACCCGCAACTCTCTTCTTCCTTTGGAGCTCCGGATCGTTTAACCACCCGCCTTTGAAAGAAGAAAGATTCTTACTCTTATTGAGCTTGGTCTCCTTCTGGGAGTAGGAAGAGGCATCCGACGTGCTGTAGCTCCTCAGATCGTATGACGGAACCGCTGGTCCCCTGATACCGTACGGTTCAATCTGCATCCGGCCATCGGCGTAGGATCTCGATCTCATGTCTTCCATAGAATAGACGAAGAAAGGGGCGAGGAAGACGAGGAGAAGGAGAGAAAGAGCAGCGAAGGAGAAGTTGGTATCTCCCTCTGGTGGCTTCGATTTCGGTGGAAAAATTGGGGAGGTGGGTTTCAGGGTGGAAGTCTTTATTCTTAGTCATCATCCTCTTCTCTGTTCAATAGTGTGGTCCAATCATTGTTGGAGATCTTTTTCCTTTAATGTGGTGGGAGGCAGGAATGAGTTAAACAGTTGGCAAATTTAAAAAATTGGATTAAACATAAATTAAAATAAGAAAAAATGTTAATTAATTTTTTTTTTTGAAAGTAGGTCAAATTGCAATTTAGCTGGAGATTTAGTTTTTATTTGAGTCGGTTTTCTTACTGCTTCTTAAAGCAATATTTTAGTAAAAAAAAAATAAATTTTTACTAAAAAATTGTTCTAAGAATATATAAAAAAGCTGTCCAAAATGAAGTCTTATATGCCACATGATGAAAAATGTCATATACATGGCAATTTTATGCATCATGTGGCAGAAGTTGTGGCCATATAGTCACTTCGACTTTATTTGAGATGACTTTTTTACTGTTTCTTAAAATACATTTTTAATAAAATTTTTTAAGATAGACCGATCTGAAATTTACGATAGCAACAATAGAAATAAAAAGGACTCTTATATAGACTCCTGTAGATGTATCAAAGAGAGTTATTAGATGATAATAGCTTTCGAGAATTTAATACAATAAGGACCAAATAAGTTACATATAATCCAAATTTAACATCATAAACTCTATTATTTCATCTATTTAATATGATACTCGGAAGAAGAGTTGTAGTTATCGTCGTTTTACAATACAAAAATGAAATTCACAAACCATAATAATTATATCTATCAAAAGACATGAAATTAATCAATCATAAAAGTACATTCAAACAGTTATTCAATATCTATTCGGTTGTACTATCCATACACAATGAGAAAGCAAAAGCTGTATATAAGGACAACTAATTTCTCTTATCGTTGTTAAAATAAAATAATAAATGTCAATTAAAAAATTGCTAGCACTTACGTAGTTATGCAATTCTTACATTACAACACAAAATTAAATATAAAAAAATAATAATTTATTTACCAATTAACTAATTATTAAAAGATAATAAAAAATGCATAGAATATTTTCTTTGTTTCTCAGAAGTTAAAAATTTCATGATGGAGTTTATTAAAAAAAATAATTTTGAAATTTGACATAAAATTTCAAACTAAAAATTATATATTTTTAAACACAAAAAGGTTTAAATAACTTAGGTTAAAAAAATTACTCTTACAAAAATAATATTAAATTGTTACTCTATATTCTAAAGAAATAGGATGTCAAATAAATTATAATATAAGTAATTTAATATTAACTAGATTAAAATCAATATAATTTGAATAGAATATTCTCCAAATTATATATAATATTCAAATATGACAAAAAAGTTTAATATATTTTAAAATGTGGAAGTAGCCACACGTTAGGTTAAATTTAATAAATATTAAAAACAAACAAAAAAATGATATTAATTATTACAAATTATTATGTGTAATAAATTTAATTAAAATCAGAAAATAACCATATGGAATATTAATCTAGTTTGCATGCAAAAAAAAAAAAAGCAATGTATTTGGCTACTTCTGCCACGTTGATTATCAATTTGTTGGCTCAGCGATGACTTGGACCCTTAATAAAAAAATAAAAAAAATTGCGATGTATTTGGCTACTTCTGCCATGTTGATTATCAATTTGTTGGCTCAACGATGACTTGGATACTTTTCGAGATTTAGATTTATCACTACAATTTTAAATCATTAAAATTTATAATTAAATTGCTATTTAAAAGTTTTGAGGACTACACGAACCTTAATGAAACCTATCTAATGGATAATTTTTCACTTCCTCATATTGACCAACTAGTCGATGCAATAACTTTTGAAAGGACTATACTGCTAATGGGTCATACTATTCAAACTAAAGAATGTTGGAGCCATATACAACATCTTATGAATAAAATTTTTAAATATTATAGGGTGCACTATGGAGATATATGTAGATGATATGGTAGTGAAAAGTCTTGAGAAACTATAACATACATTTGACCTGGAATATGCTTCTGCCTCCTTCGACGCTACAACATACAGTTCAATCCTACCATGTGTGGTTTTAGAGTCTCATCTGAAAAATTCTTAAAATTCATAGTTGCCTGTCAAGGAATCGATGCTAATCCTTAAAAGATTAATGCACTAAGAGATATGGTGCTCCTAAGGAATATCAAGGACATCTGTCCTTCTTAAAGATACTAAGAAGTGCTCGTAACTAGAGTTTCAATGGACAGACACATGGTAGAAAGCTTTCGAGTAACTCCAAATATATTTGGCCTCACCTCCACTTCTTTCAAAGTCAGTTTAGGGAGATCTTATACATATATATGGTTGTTTCTTCGAATGTTATATGCACAGTCTTAGTTTGAGAAGAGAATGCTATACGACGTCTTGTCTATTATGTCAGTTAGATCCTTTTCGAGATAAAGAGATGTTACCTGTTGACAGATAAAATGATGTTGACATTAATATTCTTAGTTAGAAAATTACATTTATATTTTCAAGCTCATATAATTAAAGTCTATACAAATCTTCCATTAAGAAATATTCTCCAAAAATTTGAGGCATCTGAAAGATTAATCAAATGGTTGGTAGAACTAGGAGAATTTAAGATCCATTTCTTGCAAAAGTCTGACATTAAGTCGCAACTACTGGCGGAATTTGTGGTTGAATGCACCATCTCTATCTATGATGAACCACCCACCATTCCTCCTCTATCCTCTTATTAAACATTGTATATTGATGGAGCTTTTGGGAGTTCTAATATTGGGACTGAAATATTATTGATCTCTCCTCAATAAGTTATCTTTGAATAGGGGCTTCAACTAAAATTTCTCATGAAAAATAATGTTGTTAAGTACGAAGCTCTCATTATCAGGCTAAGGCTAAACATACACTGTGAGGTGCAAATTTAGTAATTTATACTGATTTGCAACTCATTGTCTCTAAAGTGGAGGGGAAATTTGATGCCCATAATCCACAATTGGCATAATATTACAATCTAGTGAATTCGTTTCTCATCCACATAAAGAAATATCAAATCATCCACAAACTCCAAGAGTAGATTGCGCAGGCAGATACTTTTGAAAAGTCGCTACATTAACAATTGGAGATCTTTCCAAGAGAAAGTGCATCAAGAAAATACGTTTTTTGAGCATTCAAGGACCTTGGGTTATACAGTTAATTGGTGAGTGAAGGGGGCCCTCTTGGATTGATCTCATCTTATCTTTTTTTATAAAATGGTGTGTTGCCCAAAGACACGACAGCTGTAATGAAACTTTGAAGATAAGTAACAAATTTCACCATCATTGGTGGCGAGTTAAGTAGTAGGGGCATTTACCAGGTCATATCTTAAGTATATCTCGCCATCAAAAGTTAATTACACACAATGAGAGATTCATTAAGACATATGTGTAGAACACTTAAGAGGGAAAGCGCTCACTCTTAAGATTATGAGATAAAGATTTTATTGGTTTACCATGAAATAAGATGCATTAGAATTTATACAAAAATGTAATAATTGTCAGCTGCACTCCAGTCTCTCCTATTCATCTTACTTAGAGCTCTTATCACTCCAAAGCCTATAGCCTTTTGCCTAATGAGGAACTAATATGATGGGGACATTTTCTATGGCTATCGAGCATAAAAATTTATCATCTGAGCCATAGACTACTTTAACCAATAGAGGCTAAACCCCTAGTAAAAATCATGGAAGCAAATGCCAAATAATTTGTTTGGAAAAATATAATGTATTGTTTTTGCCTTCTTGCAAATATTATCACAACTCAATTCACAGAGAAAACCATCATAACATTCTACAAGGATCTTCATATCCAGTTGATACATATAATCGTAGCCCATCCTTAAGCTAATGGATAGACTAAGATTATAAAACAAACTATACTTAAGGGACTAAAAAAGTGTATCAGCAAAGTTGTGGGATATTGGGCTAATGACTCCCCAATATCCACTAGGCAAACTGCACTACTTCCAAAATTCACAGGGAAACACCATATAACTTTTATTTTAGTATGGAGGCAATCATCCTGGTTGACATAAGAGTCCCAAGCCTTGAGTATAAACTTTCAACTTCAAGAATAATGATGAGAAACTTTGAAAGAACTTGAATCCTCTTACCAAAAAAAGAGACATAACCTTACTTACAATAACCTTTTAACACCAAAGAATAACTCACCACTATAATTAAATAGTGAAACCTTGATGCATCTCCGTCAAAGATTTGGTCCCAAGCAGCCTCGAGGTAGCAGGGAATGAACCCCAATGCAATAAACTCTCCCACTATGAGAAGACCCTTATATATTAGTGGCTATGATTAAAGGCACTAGTTCATTTTTATACCATTATGGCACAATCATATAGAGTGTTGTAGTGCCTAAGGTCAATTCTGCACTTGTATAAATAGTTTTTCAATTCTTTTGTTAAAGGAGTACTATCATTCTAGAGGAGTCTTATATTTTTAAGTGTATTCATTTAGTTCCCCTTAGATTAAAGTCTAAGCGAGAATAAAAAAATGCAAGATACTTTCATTTGGAGATCTTAGCCTATATTATGCAAGTAATTCTATTGTTAGTGGAAGGAGTATGGTGAAAATCAATTAAACCTTTTGACCATTTATCCTTATTTATTCTCATGTATCTTTTTCTTATATAAATGAAATAAATATGAGTTCTTTTTTTGTGTTATCCATGTCTAGCTAAATTTTTTGAGTTTTGGGATAATGATGTAAACACATAGAAAATACTAATATATTCTCTTATATTTTAAATTACTTTATAGATATTTTAAAAATATCTTATTCATAATTTAATGCATACAAAAATCATGTATATAGTTAAAATCTAGTGTGATGTATTACCTCGATGAATGAGCATTGGAATAAATAGGAGTTTTGGAATAGAATTTTAGCATACCTAGACATATGATGTTAAACCTTCTAGGTTATATGGAGTTGGTATACTTGTAGGAAGGTTGTAAACCTTTCTTTTCAATCCTATAAGGT